AGCATGTTTTCACTAGATCGTCCCAGAGAGTCCACTCCACACCATGTTTTTTTTTTCAACTTACCGTCTGTGTCACCAGTTTGTTGGGTTGTTTCACTTCGTACCTTCACTTCATCGTACACAATGTCCTCCTCCTTTTTTGCTGAAAGGTTGAAGGACATAATCCTTAAATTCTATATATTGTTCAAATAACAAGGGACTTTATAATATTATTTTAAAAGTAACAAAAGCTAAACACAAGATGATGACATTGTCACAGTTGCAGTGAGTGCATCCTGTGAAAAGGGAAACTGCCTTTTTAAAAGGGAAACACTTTACATTTACATTTACATTACATCATTTTTCATTTGCCCGACTGGTTTTAGCTAGCTGTGGTCAGGGTGGATTCTCCATTGTGGGTTGCAGAATTGTGCAAAACTAAACAAAAGACCATCAGTTTACATCCAATATGTCAAAAAAAACAAAACAACAACACACGTTTGGGGGCAGCATATTGCAACAATTTAATATATAACTTCAACCTATATAACTGTAATAGGAGTTTTAGGAACCTAATTCCAATATAACATTATCATTTTACATTTTGGAACATACATTTAGGAAGTGGTAATAACAGTTGGTAAAATGATTCAAAGTCTGAGATCAGAGTTTAACAGTTTAACAGTGATGTCTGTACTACTTTACTGGTTTTCTTTGTCTAATAATACTCAACATTTTGAACATCAGTGCCAATGTGCAGGATTAGCTCAACATCTAATTTCCACTATCTTCCTGCAGTTTAAAAAGCTGCATGTCAACAACGACATGCTACAGAGTTTTGCAGATGTTCCTGTTTTAAACCCTGGTTGCGCCACAAATATCTCTTTCACAGGACACAACACATGTAAACTTATTCAGATTTAATATTCTGATCGGTAAAAAAAAATAGATTTTTGATTATCGAAGAAACTATCAGTCCAAGAAATGAACATTGCTTATGAGGATGATCACACAAACAAACCAGTAAAGTAACACGTTTTAAATTATCTTTTCTTAATGCACGATTTGAAAAACTAAACTTACCTTCAGGTGGGGAATTATCTTTAGCTTTGAATACAACTAAAGCGTAGTTAACCTCCTCCTCTGCCATCGCTACAGTCGTTCTCTTCAGTGCTCTGTGACTTGTAGACAGAGAAGTACCACTGTAA